CTCTTCACTCCCAAAAGTACCAACATCTTAGCATAAAAGAGTTTAAAAAAATAATGTAGTATATCCTAATCAATACAGTTTACTTTTGAATACATTTGACCTTTTAAATAAAAGGAATCATACTATACATTCTTCAGCAACCTGTTTCTTTTCTTCCTGAAAATTCTGCTTGTGAAATTAATTTATGTTAACACAAATAACTGTAATTCTTTTTTCTCACTGTTCAATCGTATTCGTAGTACAGATATAACACCATTAGTTTTTATAAATTTATTTGTTTTATTTATTTATTTTTGACTGTGTTGGGTCTTTGTTGCTGCATGCAGGCTATCTTGAATTGCGGTAAGCGGGCTTCTCATTGCGATGGCTTCTCTTGTTGCGGAGCATGGGCTCTAGGTGCGTGGGCTTCAGTAGTTGTGGCACGCAGCCTCAGTAGTTGTGGCTTGTGGGCTCTAGAGCGCAGGCTCAGTAGTTGTGGCTCACAGGCTTAGTTGCTCCATGGCATGTGGGATCTTCCCGGACCAGGGCTCAAACCCATGTCCGCTGTATTGACAGGCTGATTCTTAACCACTGTGCCACCAGGGAAACCCCTAGATATAACAACATTTATTCATTCATTTCCCTGTGAATAGTTAGCTCCAGTTTATTTAAAATTTTTATTTTATAATTACCAATATTATTATAAAGTTTTAGTACAGGTTATCTTATACACGTGTTCAAAAATTTCTCTAGAATGTATATTTATAAAGGGAGTGATATTTCTAAGTTATAGAAATCTTCAGCTAATTGAGTAATGCCAAATGGTTTTCTAAAATGGTTATATGTGATTTAAGTGTAATATATTCTCTTTCTGGATGTTGGTTATGTATCACTCTAGAAAGGATAGTTGTGCTGAACTTAATTTTGGAAGAATGAGATCTGAAGTGACAGGCTAACATAGAACTATCTGTTGTAAACCAAAGAGCAAGGAAGGCAGCAGGATGATGACTCAAAGCATAGAGTGTGTCTCACATCTGGAATTAGCTGCTCTTGTGTCTTAGAGATGTTATTGGTTGAGTTTATGTCCTGTTCTCAAATATCTCTGTCGAGGAATTGTATTCAAACGTAGGATTATCAAATAACTATTTTTATTGTTTCTTAAAGATTGATCTGTGGGAGATAAATAAACATTCAAGAAAAAAACTGCAAAGTATTCAAGTAAGTTTGGATGTCTGATTTAGCCAAACCAAACAGTTTTCTGCAGAATTTCTCAAATCCATTAATATGCTAATAGACGCTGTGAATTTGTAAGAAGGATATATATTATAAAGAAGTTCCAATATTATTTGATCATGAAACTCCTTATGTTCATGGACTCCTGGAACGTACTTTGCAGAAATTTTGCTTGTTTTCTAATCATGACATGTTAGAACTAGAAGGAACCTTAAAACAACTCAGTTTTAAACTCCAGTTTTGCAAGAGGGATAAAATTAAGAGAGTTTAAGTGACTTCCCCAAGGACACACAGCTCTTCGATGGTTAAGGCGGGATTAGGATCTGTATCTTCAGATTCTTGATCTAGTGGTCTTTGAATTTGGTTAAAAAATAGATGAAGTTGCAAGATGCAGTGGCCTGTATGTATGTGGTATGTCCTTCTTTACCAGTGCGAATAGTGAGACTCAGATTCTTTCCTGTGAACCTCAAATTGCCCTTCTGACAGCTTATAACATCTTCTCTCTGAAACTATATTAGATCTCTGATCTTCATGAGGGTTCAAGAGTCTAGGATTATTCTATGTAAAGTCTCCATGTAGAGTAGATATCACACACACTTGATCATCCTATCTTACTGGTCCCTCCAGCAAGATTTAGCCAGAAAAATGTCCCTTCCAACATCATGGTTCAGGTGGATGAGGCAGTCTTATACATTGAGGTTGTGTGGACACTCTCACACCCCATAAGCAGAATTTAGGAAGGGCTTGAAATTTAGAAACGGAATCACCTTCCCATTAGGCAGTGGAGCAGTGTGAACCAGAGACCCTTAAAAGTTCCAGACCCTTTAACTTTGAAAAAAGTTGTGAGAAGTATGTCCCCAGATTGAATTGCATTGTTATTTGTTGATACACTGTTGTAATAATGAAACATTTGATGTAATCTGAATGTCCGGTAACTTGGGGTTGGTTAAATGAATCAAGGTGTGCTATGAAATACTATACATCCAATAAAAATTATGTTCTAGAGCAATTCATAGAAAGATGTCTAAAACAGAGCTTCCCGAAAAGTATGCCAGGTAGTAGGTTTTGATGCCCTTTGCCCTCATGGAAGATGGTCAGGGTCTTGTGTGGCCTGAACCCCCAGCTCAGATGTCTCAAACGGCAGGCAGTCTTTCCTATTCACACTAGTGTGTCATAAAAATGACTGTTATTTTTTTATGTATGCCATGATGCAAAAAATATTCAGAAAACTGGTCTAAAACATATTCCATGAAACAAAAGGTTATGAAATATTACTACAAAAAGTACATTTTAAAAAATAAATTTATTTTATTTTTGTCTGCGTTGGGTCTTCATTGCTGCGAGCAGGCTTTCTCTAGCTGTGGCGAGCGGGGGCTACTCTTCATTTCAGTTCACGGGCTTCTCATTGCGGTGGCTTTTCTTGTTGTGGAGCATGGGCTCTAGGTGCGCGGGCTTCAGTAGTTGTGGCCTGCAGGCTCAGTAGCTGTAGTGCACGGGTGTAGTTGCTCTGCGGCATGTGGGATCTTCCCGGACCAGGGCTCGAACCCATTTCCCCTGCATCGGCAGGTGGATTCCTAACCACTGCGCCACCAGGGAAGCCCCAGAAGTACATATTTTTATAAACAGAGATACACTCAAAAGTCTGCTAGGAAATATACCCTGCCTACACCCGGATGATGGGAATACAGTTATTTTTATTTTCATTCTTTTGCTCATCTACATTTCTCTTTTTCAGTGAACACTTTTCTTTAATAACAATAATATGACAATACTAATTTAATACTTACATGACCCTTAATATGCTTTATCTTGTTTTAGCCTCAAGCAGGCCTGTGAATTAGACACTGCTATTATTATTTTCATTATATAAATGCTATTTTTAAATTTCAGATTTGAAGCTATTAAGAACTGGACAAGTTGATGCAGAAAGGAAAAGGTGGAAATGAGACATATCTGCAAAGTAGAAATAAGAAAAGATAGGAACTAATTGTCCATGGGAAGCAACTATGTATGCCTCCAGGATATTGAGGATTATGGCATTAGTAACCAAAACGGAATCAAGGAAATACAAGATTATATAGAGATTTTAAAGAAATTTAGAGAAATGGTTAGTTTTCAAGAAGAAGCTGAGGTTGGCTCTTTACTTGTTGAGGTTGAAGAGATAACAAAGCAGGTTGGTAGAAATGTCCGGGTAATGGCCAGCGCTCAGGTGAGAGGAGAAACCTAGAGCTGTAGTGTGGACGGCCATCCACGGTGGAGCCATGCTTACAGCTATGCAGGTGAAGGGCTCTCGTGAGAAGAGAATGTACAGAGACAAGCAGGGTACCAAAAGTTTTACCCTTTGGGCCTCGTGTCCACAGACCCATGAACTTGACATCCATGTGTAGAATGTTGATAGAATGGAATTCCACAAGTCCCTGTGCATGGGTAAATGTTGACAGTGGATGACACATACAAATAGTTTTCTTCATTGTTTTTCCTTAGATCAGTGATTACTTGATTTCTTTTAAGGAAAGTATAAGTGGAAAAGACATTTAACAAACTTGCAGTGTAATGGTGGTGAGAAGCACCCTAGAGGATGGAATTCAAGGTGAAACGTACCCTAGCTTTGGGAAGAAGTGATCAGAAATTGAGAAAATGCAACTGAATCATGACAGATGCTTGGTATACTGCATTTAGGGTGAGGAAAGGGTCAAGTTCCAAAAATTCAAAATGGAGGGCCTCTGACTACATATAAATACAGTGAGCAAAGATCTAAGAGTCTCAGGAAACCAAAACTTGAAAAGGGATGTGCTGTATATATTTGTGCTGGTGCATATAAGATGTTTATTAGGAAATATTTTTTCAGGCAGCAGAAAGACATACATGTAATAATACAGCCACCTTGTCATATTTGGCATTAAGAAGAAATATATTAGAAATATAATAATTATATTTCTCTTCAAGGTCCCTCTTTTAAGAGAGTTAAAAGTTATTAAATAGAATACAGAGGACATCAAAGAAAAAAGAATAGATAACTGTAAAATGTACTTCTAAAAAAAGGCTAATGAACATGGTATTATTTTTTATTTTTTGCGGTACGCGGGCCTCTCACTGTTGTGGCCCCTCCCGTTGCGGAGCACAGGCTCCAGACGTGCAGGCTCAGCGGCCATGGCTCACGGGCCCAGCTGCTCCGCGGCATGTGGGATCTTCCCGGACCGGGGCACGAACCCGTATCCCCTGCATCGGCAGGCGGACTCCCAACCACTGCGCCGCCAGGGAAGCCCTGAACATGGTATTATTTATTTTTGGAATCAAAAGATCAAGGGATGATTTAATAAGGATCAGGATTGTTAAGTTATGCAAGATTGTTGTACAGAGCTTTGGGGCATCTTTATTAAGCCAGTAGAAAAGTAGGAAATAAGCTGAAACTATTAATAACCCCCCCGAAGTACATGCGCATATATACACACACATACTTGGACCACACACACTCACACACATGCACATATAAGTGTATGTTCGTATAAAGAGCCCGGAAGGGTCTACATCAAACTATTAGTTGTTATTATTTGTGTGTGGTGTTGATTATAGGTGTTTTTATTTGTTCCATATCTGTGTCTTCTAATTTATCCATAGTAAACATGAAATGTTTGTGCAGTAAGAAAAATGTTTTTATGGTATGTATAGAAGCAAATAGGTCACTTCCCTCTCATCCCTATCATCCTGCCAACCCCTAACCTGTAAAACTTAATTTTTATAATATTCTGTATAACGGTAGTACTGGTACTCTACTTTATCTTTTACAGATGCTAGTGAAAAGTAACCACCTTTCAGACAAGATCATTGTTTTGCCAGGGAAAATTGAAGAAATCTCACTTCCTGAGGCTGTAGATGTGATCATTTCAGAACCAATGGGATACATGCTGTTCAATGAAAGGATGTTGGAAAGTTACCTTCATTCCAAAAAATGGCTGAAAGCAAATGGTGAGTTGGCCAATTCCTGGTTTAAAAAGTAGGCTAACTTCTCTGTAAAATATGCTGTCTTACTTCCCCCATATTCAGTCCTTTACAGAAAGGAGGAGAGAGCATTTCTGTTAAACCAGTTCTTTGGTTTTCTCATCCTATTCTCCCATAATAAACGAGCTAGTCTCCAAAAGACATTGATGGCAGTGGCTGCAGTGGTATTCAGTATGGTAAAGGAGACCAGTTCCGAGTTACGTATTTTTGTCCTAGTTCAACCACTGTTTTCCTTAGCTAACTTGGCCTAACACTTGACCTTTTGACCTTTGCTTCCCCATCTGTATTATTAGAAGTAATCTCTAAAGCCCTTTCAAGTGTTGATGTTCTGTAATGTGACAAACTCTCTGGTGTCCATTTCTTCTTTCTAACCTATTCTCTTCCTACTGTATGTCTCTTTCCC